GAATTGGACGTGGATGAAGAGAACGATAGCACAATTTGCTACAAAATTCGGTAAGTTACCTTTTATATTATATTGCCGTAACACCAATTTTTTAGTCGATTAGATGAGAGGAAAAATTGGTAAATGATACCTGAAACGTGCTCAATAAATGATACGCCTGGTTATCGCGCTTTTTATATTAGCTTTTGCAACTGCTGATTTGGGACCACTTTTTAAGGGAGGTAATCGTTTTTTACGCACAGCTAAATCATTCCGTTCAATTGTTTGCTTGCTTTTTTTTAGTATCAAAAAAGTTAGCAAATAAGTTGGCAGAAAAAAGACCAGTTTACTGCAAGATTCTTAAGGACTAACAAAAGTCATTTGATGATCTTTGGTCATTGGGTAATAGGACATTTACATCAGCTTTAACAGTTTTGCGAATCTCCAGATATGCTGAGTAGCAGATTTAGCTTTGGGCACAAATTTAAGCGTAAAATTTACAGCGGCTTGGGAAAAAGAGCATCACAGGAATTCCGGGATCGATGCTTGCTGATTACGCTGCGAATGTTCGGCGAGCACCTATCGTTACTGGCAGTAATATCAGGCACCACAACACTGATATGTGCCATAAATATTGTTTACTGGTTCCTAGAAGAGGATAAACGCCCAGCTCCAAAGTTACCCACGCCATCAGCGGAATTTGCAGGCCTCACCCAGTCGCCTATTGCTGTCGCCTAGAAGTGACCAGTCCAATTTTCTTCTGCAATTTCATGATATGCATTACAAATTTGTCCACTTGGCCAGATCATTGTTCTTTGTTGTTTATTTCATAAATATTATTGAGTTCGACGACTACAGAATGTTACGCAAATCCCACTGAAATGTTGCTGCAAGCGGGAGCCCTTCTTGAAAATGGTTATGGACCGAGAGGGAAATGAGCCATTCCCGTTCTAAATCTGGAAGCAGCTTATTGCTCATTACGCCACCGGCCTTAGTGCTCCAGAAAACACATCCATTGTGTATCTGTTTCCAAGGTATTATGTACTTGGTTTTTTTTTTCTACCTCCCATAGACAATACGCATCTTTGTCCTTGTGGCGGCTTCATCCTTGTTGGCCTTTCCGGGAGAGGTACCGCAGTTATCGTAGGTTCTGAAGCACACATACCTCAACAGCGTTAAAGCAGCAGTGGTTTTGTAGTTCTGTTGTTTTTAGAAATTCAAGAAGGCTGTCGCAGTAAAACTAATCTTACAAAATACAGTGCACTTTGGTGCGTACAAGGGACATTTCAGTTATAGCATTATTTAAAGGTTTTTTAACAGAAGAGCCTAAAACAGAGGATGGGACTTAGGACGCGCGCTGAACATGCGAATAAGAAGTCTCTATTTCATCTTCCAATTGTAAACCCAGAGAAAAGAGTTTTTGCACATAAGAGTGAGAATTATCAGTGCAGCCTCCTAAAACTTGGATCCTGTAAAAGGGATGTAGTTTCTGCATTTTGAAAAAGTGCGAAGAAGGTGCAGGGTTAAAAGCCGGAAATGTGGTGGCACTAGAAACCAATGAAGTGACTAATAATCGAAATGGTTTTACTCCTCGTGCCCACATGAAGGATCAAACGAATTAGGCAATTTGTTATTTGTTGCTTGAGATGCCTTTTTCCTGAGTTCCCATATGTAAGAGCAGAAACTTACTTCCTTTGCACTTAACTTTCTTGATTTCTCAGCTTTGTCATATTGGAAGCTAAACCTACACATATAGTCGAACTGACAGCCTCAGTCCAGCACAACAAAAGAATAGCAGAATGAGCAGCAACTAAGTCTTTGTAAGATTTTTTAATCTAGTTCATACTCATGCTTGATAAATGACCATCATTGCTCTTTCTTTAAAACAAAGAGTTTGATTAGACCACCATCAGCAAATTTAAACAATAAGGTTTATGGAAATTTGTTCCTCTTGATTAAACTGACTTTT